CTGTGTTTGAACATTAGATGAATGTTAGACTTGATTGTGTCTAAATGGTATTTGAAACCGAAATTGGTGTTTTGCCTGACTGTTATCTTGCCAAGTTCCACATAAAAGTTTCGAGGTTTGATGCCAGTTTTTAGAAAGTGCTTCAAACTTCCTACTACTGGATACCTCATGTTGTGTTAACCATTCTATACAGAAACAAATATATTTTTACAAGGCTTTCTGATAAGTTAGACATTGTTTGGTTATGACTGACACTGTACATGGTAATTGTGCTTGAACATTCTTATAATAAAAGGTAATATGATAGTGAGGTTCCCTAATAAATGTGGAGGAAAACATCCTTTAATTGTATGTTGCGAGTTTTAATAAATGTTTTATTATTAACATTTCCATCACATCTGTTGTGTTAATGTCAGCCATGTTGGCAGTCGAGCTGAAGTAGTGCGGAAGTCGTGTATACGTGCGCAGTGAAGCGGTCATAAAAACAGACACATTTTCAGTCCAACTTGATAGTGTCTAATTTTGTTGATTGTCCATGCAAACTTGAGTATTTCACATAGTCATGGTAGAATTGCATATAACACTTGTAGCGGCCATACAATATATAGAACCTGTGGATGGATTCGAACCACAGACTTTCTGATCACAGGTCAGATGTCTTGTCAACTATCTGACATGCTAGTCATCTGTCATTTGCTAGAGGATATGTCCCAAAGTGAATTCATATAAGTATTGTTACGACATTCATGATTTGGGTTAGTAAAATCAGTACTTATGGATGGATGAAACTGACTATTCCACCTCCTGAAGCTGGTGGACTGATGTAATACCAGTTTCTGTTGTTGCTATATACAGACTGTAGATGTTGCTCATGATATCAAGCACTACTGAGGCTGACCTTATACAGTGGAAATAAACTTACTGCAGCTGTCACAACAAATATTAGTACATTGATGTTTGATTATGAACTGACACTCATCAGGTGTAACTATCCAATTTGTCATTGTGAGCATTCAGTATAAAATCAATATGTATGCAAGCCATGTGAATCAATAAATGTATTGATGTAGCATAGAAACGCCAGTGTATTATATTGTTTCCTTAATCATGTTTGTTGACTGCAGGTATGCCCAATATTCTTTGGGTTCTTCATCAAACATATATAATAGTAAAACTCTCAACTGGTATTTTCACTGGTCTACATGTTAAAGATATGCAGAGGTTAAACGTGCCAAGTGCAGATGAAGTATTACTCCTGTGGTCTGTTTGAGATAGTTGCAGTGATTTAACATTGTAAACTTCATATATTGGGGAATTATATAGATACAAGAGGTATTATGTAACATCATATGATATAACTGAAAGAATGTTTGCTGTGGAGCTATTTGTTCAATGAAAGTTTAAAAATGTACAACACAGAAACAACACAATAACTCAAGATAAGGAAGTCAATGGGGCTGAGTGAAATGTTACAGTTCCAGGCCAGTCTGCACAGCTCCCCATAACATTCAGTCTTACAGAATTGATATGGGAAGCTGGTCCAGACCTGAGTGGCCTCATTTGACCTTGTCTGGTGAGATACTGACCAAGTCTCTTTAAGACAGTGGGTTGCCTTGCTCCCTTACTTCAGATCCTAAACATGTGGTCACTGAAGGTCAGCATTTGGTCAATATCCACAGTCACGTTTATGAAGTGATATTTGTACTGACAATGCTGAAATTTTGAACATACAAGATTTTAGCTGTTGAAGGATATAGCAAAAGCGTAACCTCATTAAAAACCGATTTCAATGCTCCTTACTGCTACAGAAAGGTCTGAGGACCTCCCATTACAGGTCCCACCAGTACAACCACCTTAGGCCTCTGTCCAGTGAAATGACAGAAGGCTGGTTTCCCTACTGACAAGGTTTCACTAAACATCATTAAATACTATACAGTTCTAAATACTGTGTTAACAAATTCATTTGTTGAATCCAGGCTCTTGTTTATTTGTTGGTTAAAATTGCATATGATCTGTGATGGAGTAATGTGTGTAGTCTTCAAAGATGTGAAGCATTGATGTCTGAATGTCTGAATGTCTCTGCTTAAATGTATCACTATTTTCTCATTTACCCAGCCAAATGTTCCTTAACTTGTATCAGATACAATCCTTGTTGCTGTCATAGCGATGGTCCTCTACACAAGCTATCTGTTCCTGCCTGGTCATGCTGTTATGATCATCCACTTCCTGTTACGACTGTTTGGGGTGTCAGCTGAAGAGGAGGACACTATGACCCACACAACATCATGACATGGGACATGGTTGTGTGCAGATGTTTTCATGGTGGATGAGTGCAAAAATGGATGGATAGTGGAAATCAACCGACGGCTTCCTACAAGATGAATGCATCAAATCTTCAACAGCTGAATAACATGAATAAATGATTGAAGCAGTGAGCAGATGAAAAGTACAATGACTGAAATTATGTTGACGAGTTACAATTTGTCAGTACCCTGTTAACTACTTGGTACCATTTCCGGTGGTATTGTCCTGATTAACAGATTCCAGAAAAAATTATCCATGATTACAAAGTAAATGCCTTTGTATATAAACCATCTGGAAAGTGGGATTTCCAGATTGACAGGGTTTTACTGTATTAAGCAGCTTTGTGTGATTAGCAGCAGGGTGGACCTTAGCTTCTTTAGAAGTATACTTTGAACAGGACAAAATAGTCTTAATTCTATATTCAGTTTGGAGATGTAAGCAAATGGGAAATATGTTTGGAGTTGTTCTCATGTTAAAACAGTATACATACAATTATTATCCCCCTCAACATGTTTTACTGCAGGTATTATTTTGGATTTTGTCCATTCATGCAAATTCGTCTTTTCTGGAGCAGAACATAAGAACTGTTCAATATTTCTTCACCAAACTTTGCACATACATAGGTCTGGTGGTGAACTGGTGCCTTTTGGTAGTTTTGGATTTTTTAATAAAATATCTTTTGCATTTCCATGGCAATAAGTTTGACTTTGACTGAAATTGGTGTTGGTGCTCTTTTCCGGTGCAGAACTTTAAGACCGTTCAATGCTTCTTCGCCAGATTTGGCTCGTAGATATGTATGGTGGTGAACTGGTGCCTTTTGATAGTTTTGGATTTTTGAATAAAATAATTTTTGCATTTCCATGGCAACAGGTTTTACTTTGACCGAAATTGGTGGTAGTGCTCCTTTCTGTAGCGGAACTTTACCGGTAAAACCTTTCAATATACCCGGTACTACTTCCACTTTGTGGGTATTCAAGAACCTAATGACATAAATCAATAGTATCACTCTATTTCCAGTATCATTCCTGAGGTACATCAAAACTTGGAAGCACTCAGGCAGTCTGTTGTTGATACAAGCATGCTAGTATATGAATAGTTTACATACGTATGTTTTCGTTAGATCAATGTGAAGAACAATGTAACATTTGACATAGTCATAACTAGTTCACATATTCCTGAAGAGTATTTTACCATTGCAGGGGATATTAATGACTTCGTTTTTATGTTTATATACTTTCTCATGTTCACAAAATGTTTTTTTTTTAATGTACCAGTGGCTGATCACTAAAACACTACAGATTAAGATGCATGTTTAGTTCAGTTGAACCCATTCCTTCTACAATGGTGGATGCCCTACTCTTATGCTTGTTTGGCTTCCAGATTATTTAGGAAAGATATTCTAAGTTAGCTGAAGACAGACATGACAGAATAAGCTCAATATTTGCACAATATTAATTTCTCTAATCCATCCAAATCAGAATCTGTGGGTAAGTAGAAATTAATATGAAATTCTGGGCATATAGTTTTTGTTTGGCAGTTCAGATTGTGGTGTGTTGGTCCCTATACACATGACACTGTATTTTGTAACTCCTATTATGAGTGTAAGAGAATATTTGGTATGCTAGCTGACGAGCTTCCATGTATTTCCTCTCAGGTGCTCAGATCTGAGGAAATGTAACACGTCCCGACGCCATTCTACTCTAGTCTGTGGAATGCCTATCGTTGATTTGTTTGTTTATTATCTTTTGTTATATGAAGTATTAATCATTACATCATATGAAAAGCTATTTAGGCAGTCTTGTCGACCCTTACCATCCAAGATCTGTTATTGGACCTTAACATGGCATCAGTGATACATTTCCTGTCACAAAAAGCAGGAAACTATCTGTCTTGTGGTTAAAATATAAGTATTGTCATATTGTTGGTTTAAGTGAGGTATGATCTAATGTGTTCAAACCGTCTCTCTTATGTCATGTGTTGTGTGTTAAAGATGAATGGAATAAACTTTACTCCCATCAATGAATGTGTTTTCCGTAATATTATGTTGAAAAGATGTTATCACCACATTTCAGCTTCAATGGGGAGGGAGGCTGAAATGCATTTCATCCATTGGTAAATCCCACATGCACAGATCTGCTACAACTAAAGATGTGATCAGTATTAGGGAGAGTCTGATCCAAGCTGTGAGTGTTGCACAGGTTTCAAACTTTCAAGAAAGTTGAACGGCTGGTCACCCAATTTAGGTTATACTCCCAACAGCTATTGTGGGTGAGTGAGTGAGTGAGTGAGTGAGTTTAGTTTTACGCCGCACTCAGCAATATTCCAGCTATATGGCGGCGGTCTGTAAATAATCGAGTCTGGACCAGACAATCCAGTGATCAACAGCATGAGCATCGATCTGCGCAATTGGGAACCGATGACATGTGTCAACCAAGTCAGCGAAACTGACCACCCAATCCCGTTAGTCGCCTCTTACGACAAGATAGTCGCTTTTTATGGCAAGCACATGGGTTGCTGAAGACCTATTCTACCCCGGATCTTCACGGGTCTATTGTGGGTAGTTTTGCAAGCATTGGGTATCTTGGACAAATGACTACACATCCTGATGAACCAGGGATTCATGACAGTGATCATAAGGATCTTGACTCTGCATCATGCATTTCTTTGTCATTTCAGGTAACAAGGAAACCACAATATTGATGATAATTATATTTTATTTGATCACACGGATCAAGTTGAAAATATAGGATACACATAACAATGCAAAACCCACATGAAATAAAGAAGAATATCATCAATGTTAGTTTCTTACATCATATAAAGATCAGTTAATAGTCAAATGATTCCTTTAAGAAAGATGTTACTGATTTACGATTTTTCCATAACTGTCTCCTTAAAACACACAACATATTCAGTTGTGGAAGTATTTTTACACTAGTGGCGTTCTTTCAGTACATGTTGAAAATATGGCAAAGGATGAGTTCCTCCATGAAGTCCAGTACACCACATGCAGTTGAACTCTACCATTATATGGATGTGAGTCTATGTAAATGTCTCTGTGACAACACTGGATCATGCTACTATAACTCTTCATCATCAGAATCATCAGACTCCTCAAGTGCTTCCTGGTAAAAGAAAGAAAAATAAATGAATGAACAGGGTACCTGTAGTGTAACACAACATATACGACAAAGTCTCAGTGACATGCAATTCACCTATTCACAGAGCCAGGTACATTTTGGTAACACATGACAGATTTTAGACATTCAATTCACCAGTCATGATCTATATCACCAGGTTTAGCATTTTGTTGACCATACATTAATCCCTTGATCCGTGCCCGTGGTTCTCATGAAGGGAGGTGAAGTTGAATCATTCCTTTCCATCTCATTTACTATTGGGGGCAATTAAATAATGTCACAAGAAACTTTGAATACATCACCATAATAATTGAAATGACAAAAAGACTTCTGTAAGTGAAGAGACCAATTATTACTATCTTAATTTACAACATGAATTTTAAAGTCTTTTGTGTTTGGTTTTTGAGAGATATGGCAATCATAAAGGCATATTGACTACATCCATCCCTTTCTGCATTTAATTAAACACAAAACACACTGCCTGCCTGCAGAATTTTGAAGTTTCACATGCACGAATATGTCCACCACCAATTGATATTGCAAGACCACAGCCGTTAGGGGGGTGAAGACACACAATCACTAAGCAGTCTCGAATAACAAATATCTGTTGTTGGGAACCTTGGGGGACATATTTAAGACATTTCAAGAGACAACCAGAAAATTTGCTTTTACACTGTACCTTTGCATATTTCTCAGCTTCTGTGAATACCTCTGGAGGTACAAGCTCATGTCTGCCACCAGTACCTGAAGAGAACAATCATTATTATGACTGTCGTAGTATTGTTATGTAATGTAAAGTAAACCTCAAACAACTATATAACACTGATTCTAAGCATTGATTAATCCATAATGAAGCTTACACTATCATGCTATTTAATCGTCCTAAGTTCTTTTGACTGTTGAAAGACAAACAGCCTATATTCATCTGGTGAAATTACATAATGCAAGATATGCAATGAAAACAATCTGAACTATGATCAATATCTAGAGTAGCAGTAGCAGAGTACAGTAAAGCAATTAGACCGCTCACACTGACTGCGTACAAGAAACCCCCAGGGTACTCCACTGTTTGCCGGAATATATGGTCTGCTTGGTAAGACATCTTCAGTGAAGGTGCTGTACTGTTTGTAATAACACTGATGCTGACTGGATTTCCATCATGACATATGTAGGTCCTGTTCTACTGGTGTGTACAAGCCAAATGGTGAACTTATGACTAGCATTACTGAAGTGTGGGCCATGTAGCTGTACATACCTTCTCCAACCCAACTGAGCTCAAGTTCAAAAGCCTTGTCTTTCACTTCATCATGAACAATATAAATTCTGAAAAATTAAAAATATTTTAATTGTGAATGCAGTTTTTAGGCTCATTGGTTAGTGGTTAGTGTATTTCACATATTTAGTGTTCCGGTGCTAAGCTAATTAAAATCTAAAACTTATACAAACAGTAATGAATTCTATTATTTACTGTATGCACAAACACCGGAAATACCATGCCAACAAATTCGCTAATAAATCATGCAATTTTTGGTTACAAAAGTGTTCAATGTGTATCTGGGCTTAATTTATTTATCATTTTTAAAATGTATTCAAATTTTACTTAAAATTTCATTCACTATTGCTCACATTACATTTAGCAAAATCGTGTGTTGCCAGTGCACCAACTCCTCATTATTTTCAGCAACCACGATTAGACTACCGCTATTGATACCTTGAAACAAACTTTAGTTGACAGAGAATGGAAATATTGATCATACTTAGAATACAGTATCGCAATTTTAACCATAATTGTTTTACCAAATGTATAACCTTTTACCACAAGCAATGGCATGATATTGACAATGCAAATACCATAACTTGGTAAATGTTTGGTACAAACCCGACGCTAAGGGACACAACCCTGCAAAGACAACTGTGGCCTCAGATCAATGGGTTACCTGTGCCTCATGTACCCGGTATCTAAACAGAATCATATGCAATAAACATGGAGATCAAACCAAAACAGGAACATTACTCACATTTTTGCTACTTCTTTCACAAGTTCTTGCATTGTCATATCTTTCATCTGAAATAACATATCATACATATTAGGTTACTGTAAACAGACAAAGTTTTGCGGGCAGGAAAGTTTTGCTAGTATTGCGAATGACATCTCTCATTTTGTTAAGCAATTATTCCCGGTCCCGTGACCAAACAATGTCAAGAAGTCCAGATGTTCGCCTACAGGTAATTCCTTAACACAATGTACTTACTTCACAGCAATCACTAACATATTGCGTCTACTCACGTCTCGAATGAAGTGTAGTTCACAGTAAATGGATACGCATACATATTTTGTTTTGCCTAAACGTATAATTAGTGTAGCTGGACAATCACATGTCAACAAACTGCTTTCACAGAGGAAATAGTGACATCGCGCGAAACCTCATCGGTGACAGGTTAAATTGTTCCATGCATAAAAAACTATAGGTCAATATACCAAAAAAGCTGTCCCATAAACTTAGTTATGATTATAAATATTTTACATTTATAGAGCACAACCTGCAATGAAAATGACACAATACTAGAATATATTTCTCTTTATAAAACAATAGTTTCAGATACTATCTTTTCACTGCATCACAATTCATTTTGGTATTTTATCGGGTACATTTTAACTGAATCATCGGTAGGGCAACATGTGCACTGCACAACTGATTGCTATTTCCGGCGTTGTTAACAAGACAATTACACACGATTATCTTAATCCCTGCATATAAGTCAATGCCTAGCAAAAACAAATTAGAACTGAATAGGTCAATAATCTTTTCTAGCGATGTTTAATTGCAAATTTGACGTCTTTGGTCTTTTCTTGTATGTTCGTTCACACGAAGCGATACCATGTAATGTCAACAATTCGACTTGTTTTTACAAGAAGAGGACTCGCAATACAATCACGATGTAGAACTGGTTGGGTTGTTGATCACGCAAAACATTTAAGACGGGGGAACTTTGTCGATTTAGAGTACACATCAATATTCTGTGCAAAGTATAAAATCAATTTCTGATACTCAGACGATTGCAACCTGGGACAATTCCAAAGAATCAGTTATGATTATTATTTCCTTCCAATCAATTTCCATCCAGACAGCTGCCACCTAATGCTAACATACAACTGTGACAACATGAACTGTCTGCGCTTTGTGGATCACAACTACAGACCTACAGACCTTTGTGGCTCACAACTACAGACCTTTGTGGCTCACAACTACAGACCTTTGTGGCTCACAACTACAGACCTTTGTGGCTCACAACTACAGACCTTTGTGGCTCACAACTAAAGACCTACAGACCTTTGTGGCTCACAACTAAAGACCTACAGACCTTTGTGGCTCACAACTACAGACCTTTGAAGCTCACAACTACAGGCCTACAGACCTTTGTGGCTCACAACTACAGGCCTTTGTGGCTCACAACTACAGGCCTACAGACGTTTGTGGCTCACACCTACAGGCCTTTGTGGCTCACAACTACAGGCCTTTGTGGCTCACAACTACAGGCCTTTGTGGCTCACAACTACAGGCCTACAGACCTTTGTGGCTCACAACTACAGGCCTACAGACCTTTGTGGCTCACAACTACAGGCCTTTGTGGCTCACAACTACAGGCCTACAGACCTCACACCTACAGGCCTTTGTGGCTCACAACTACAGGCCTTTGTGGCTCACAACTACAGGCCTTTGTGGCTCACAACTACAGGCCTACAGACCTTTGTGGCTCACAACTACAGGCCTTTGTGGCTCACAACTACAGGCCTTTGTGGCTCACAACTACAGACCTTTGTGGCTCACAACTACAGACCTTTGTGGCTCACAACTACAGACCTTTGTGGCTCACACCTACAGGCCTTTGTGGCTCACAACTACAGGCCTTTGTGGCTCACAACAAACAAACCTATAGACCTTTGTTGCACACAACTTGGCTTAGGTGAGAATTGTCTTAGGAGACAATTGCCCTGCTCCCAATCATAAGGAGTCCTATTTAATAAGACATATATCAATAACAAAGAACAAACCTTTAGTTTTTCTATTTCTGTTTTGGCATTCTGTTTTGCCTTTCCTACAGCACAGCCATGGTAACCCTGGTAAAAACAAACATAAAATCATAAATCAGTGTTTGGTCAATTCTGTGATAAGAATTTGTGGGTTTGACCAATTATACTATAGGGATACCATTTCTTATTTCCCTTGCAAATGAAAACTGAATCAACACAAAACTGCAAGAATGAAGGTTGTTTCCAGCAATTTCCCACATTTATAATGAGGTACAGTGGACTAGGATGAAATACAATATGTACTTACCCATGATACACCTGAAGGATCGATCAGATACATCTGAGGACCATCTGCTTCATAGGAGCCGAGAATGGCACCAACACCAAATGGTCTGATCGAGCTGTATAGTGTGTAGGCATGGACGTACATGGACACTCTGTCTGTCAGGTGCTGCAAGAAAACAAATATTTAAGTAGCAAAACGTCTTTCTTATCTTGAACAAAAATGCATGAAATTGAAAATTTTAATATAAATTGTATATTTATATACTTATCCTATCTCACGGTATGCACTTCTCTCTCTTGATTCGACACTGAGTGGAACGATGTAAACTTTTTTCCCAAGGCCTCTCTTGTCCATCCGCCCAAGCATTCCATGCTACCCTCACTATAAGACAGCTTCCTAGCTCTCATGCAAAGCATGTGGCATGCATCACTAGCTGCCCACGTGACTAACTCCGAATCATCATTCTCATTCTTGGAGCCACTGGATAATATCCATCTTGGAGAATCTGCATAGCGGGGAGGATAGGCGGGAATCCGTCACGTGAGATGGGTTAAGTATATACATGTATATATACAATTTATATTAAAATTTTCAAATTTTTAAACTTATCCTATCTCACGGTATGTACTTATCCCATGGTCGGACAGCGGGACGCAGATACCCTGTGTCTTGACAGTGCGAACAGCTGGTCTTGGAGCTGTGTAGACTGGAAATGACCGTAGATAGTGATGCACAAGGGAGGCCTGTTACGCATGCACGCAACTCCTATGCTTGTGCTGAGTTCTCTTGAACTCCTTGGCTTACTAAGCACAACGTCTCCCAGGGAGATGGGTGCTCCCGAGGATGTGGTGTTCGGCCGCAACCTCCGAAGAAGGACGCAGCTCAGCGAGAAAGTATGTCATTTCACCACGATTTTGAAGGTACCCTGTAAATTAAAGTCGGTTGACAATAATCGGGCCAGCCCCTGCTTCGAGAAGACTCCCACAGACACCAACCAGGGGCGGGTGAAAGAGAAGCACAACTTGGGATCTCCAAGTTTTAACGTTCAGTTCCGGGACAGCATCAAATTGACCCTCACTCCTTTGCATAAGCTTAGTCAAAGGATGTGCCCGGCAACTTCGGAGTCGGAACGCAACAAAATCCACTGGAATTCGGGAGTGACACACTTCACTGACGTAATTGCTTCGAAAAGTAGAGGCCAGGAAACGTGAAATATCGAACCCTTCCTTGATACAGAATCGAGCTCCAGATTCGTCCAACCACCGATGTGGTAGTATCTCCGTGTCTTAGTATAAAACTAAGTGAAGTAGTTCTAACCCATAAGCAATCAAAACATAAGGCAGACAGCAAGTTCAGACTTATATTCAAGAAAATACAGGGAAGCAGCAACCGCGAGGGACCGTTCCCTATCTGTGTTGGTGGGCCGTAGACAGCTGTTGTGCGAGAACAAGGGGTCCAAACTGGTGCAGGCCTTGGTCATCCTTGACTGAGAGGTCTCGAAGGTAGTGCGAGGAGAAGACCGAGTCCGATCGCCAGAAACATCCTTCCATAATGGCGTGGAGAGAGCAGTTACTATGCAGAGCCATTGTAGACGCTAACGCCCGTATCTCATGTGGACTGGAAGCTGTCGGGGCCGGTAACCCAGCGAAGGTGTAAGCCCGTAGGATGGTGGCTCTTATCCAAAAGGATAATGTGGCGCGAGACACTTCCACCCTGGATGTTGAGGACAACGGAATGAAGAGGCTCTTGCAGAGACGGCGGCAATCTTTAGAAGCAGCAAGAAAAATCTTTAAAGCCCTAACAGGGCAAAGCTGAAGGTCTTCATTGTCTCGAGCCCAAGGATCGTGGACAACGGTGGGATGGTAAAAGTATGATCGGGTTGTCCTGGCAACTGATTCTTCGCTACAAAATCCCAACGGAGACCAAGGAAGATTTTGCCATGCTTCTTCCGTTCAAACTGAACTCTGTTAACGTCCAAAGCGTGGAGTTCACAAATCCGAGCAGCTGTAGCCAAGGCCACAAGGAAGAAGGTCTTGAAGGAGATCTTCTCAAAGTCCTTCTGAGCTAGGGGTTTATAGTCCGCTGAGGCCAAATGATGCAGCACCACAGATAAATCCCAAGCAGGAGGTCTAAACTTCTTAGACTGATCAGCCAACTTGAAGGATCGGAGCAAATACTCAAGCTCAAGAACCGTGGAGACCTTAGAGCCTGTGGTGGTAGCCAGGACCGAGTTGATCGCAGCAAGGTAAGTGGCCAAAGTGGAACCCTTGAGCTTCTTAGACGACTGCAAATGCTGAAGAAACTCAGCGACGATTTGAGGTGAAGTAGAAACAGGAGATGTAATGCCTCTGGACGTGCAATATCTCTCAAAAAATTTCCACTTCTCATCATAAAGTGAGCGGGTGGAAGTCCGATGAGCAGAAGTGATGGCCATAGCCACTCTCCGCGAATACCCCTTGGCGATTAAGGACTTCTGCAAATGCGCCGAATGTGCAGAGACAGGGTGTGAAGGGATACATGATGCCGATACGCTGAGGGTGTATCAGTAGGTCGTCCCGATTGGGAAGAGGAACTGGGTTTAGGTCTGCGAGCTGTGCGAGACTGGCCAGTAAGGCGTGACCAAAATCAGCAGAATCTGCCTGGTTGCTCAGAGTTTCTGGATGACTCTGAGTAGAAGAGCCGGGGGTGGAAAGGCGTAAGAGTTGAGTCACTCCAACGAAATCGCCAGAGCGTTGAGATCCCACGCTAGTTGGTCTGGTATCGGCAAAACTGCGGAACCACGTGGCGAATAGGTTGACTTGGGGCCTTGATAACGAGAAGATCAGTTCCCAAAAGATCTGTGGCTGGCCCGAGCATTGATGGCGAGGTAGTCTATCAGATGGAAGAACCGAAATGCCAACTGAAGAAGGTTCGCCGAACTCGTCGACCCGAGATGTTTGATGTACCAGACGACCGATGAGTTGTCTGTCTGAATCAGCAGGGAAGACCCCGAAGTTCCGTCGCCCAATGTCGAATGGCGAGAAGAACTGCCAAAAACTCGAGTTCATTGATGTGCAAGTCCCGTTCTGCGGATGACCACTGCCCGGCTGTCTTATGATGAAGAAAGTGAGCCCCTCAACCTTTGAGCAACGCGTCGACGAACAAGTGATGCATTGGAATGAACAGCATCAAACCAACTCCGGCACAAACGTTCTGTTCGACAAGCCACCACTGAAGAAAACGACGTACAGGTTCGGAGAAGACGAATCAACTCCAGGAGATTCTCTAAGACGAGATATGGACGCAGTTGCAATTGTCCCCGCTGTGTCAATGCCTGTGCCGATGTCAAGAGGCCCAAGAGTTCCTGCCACTGTCATAAGGTCCTGGCCTGCGACAGTGCTAACGGAGCTAGCCGTTGAATCGTCAGCCACCTGTCTTGGGGGACGAAAATCAGGCCCTGGTGCGTGTTGAAAGTTGCTCTGATGAATTGAAGGGTCTGGGTCAGCGTTTAATAACCAACCTAGTTGCCGGAGTAGCTTCGTACTTAACTGCAACTGACGTAGAAGAACGACTGGGTCTCTCTGTGCTTGAATGCAGTCGTCTATGTAACTTTTGAACACGACCCCGTGGAGATGAAGAAACCTGGTGATCGGCTTGGTGATCCTGGTAAATAGCCACGGGGCCGTGGAAATTTCAAAAGGCAGGACGGTCCATTGATAACGGTAACTTGGAATACTAATCGGAGGAATTTCCGCGAATCCGGATGAATGGGCACATGAAGAAAAGCATCTTGAAGGTCCAAGCTGACAAGAAAATCTCCTTTCTTCAGGATGGTGCAAAGAAAGACGATCGATACCATCCAGAAGTGAGGTGGGCGCTGGAGATAGTGGGCATTGAAAAGTTTCATGTTGAAAATGAGTCTTAGTTTTGTGGAGTTTTTCTTGGGAACCAGAAAGATGGGGGAATAGAACCAAGGAGTGCTGGGCGCACATTTCTCTATGAGCGTACCTATGGTGGAGTGAAAAACCTGGACCTCGTCTGCTGGGTGGCTGCGGTGTACTGGATGCACTGTCAGCGGCGGACGTCCGATGACTGGAAGGTGATAGCCTGTGGCAAGGAGGTCGGTCACGAAAGGATCGTCAAGTATGGTCCAGTTGGGAGCGAACCTCCCTTGTCTCCCGCCAACTGGAGAGTCGTGGCCGGGGATGGCTGGAGGCAGGAGTTCCCATTTCGTGCCCTTGTTTCAACGAGTCACTGCTTGGGAGGATGTCGGGAAGAAGTGCCATGGGAGGACCTGCTATTCTAGCTCGGGACGAATGGCCATGAACGCAGTTCCGGATGAGATGGTACGAACCGTGGAGGCCTTCTCTGTATCATGGAAACTTGCAGATGAGACTTCTGGAGTTTCAATAATTCCACCGAAACTTGAAATTGAGTGTCCCGATCCACCTTTGTCGAAACTTCCTCAATCATGCCATTCTGCAGACCACGGTTGACAAAAGAGTTCAGCCTTAAATCTGTCATCCCATGAAGACAAATTGAGTGGGCCGTGACGTCGAACTGCCAGGAGATAGCCAAGGAAATGAGACAGCTGGTCAAGTACGATCTGAAATTGGTCCAGTATAAGGGACATACAGCCTCTGATGTAAGCATCCTGATCGGTGAAAGAGTGCTCCACTGATGCCGCAAATGCGTCCACCGCCGAGATGATGCAGTTGATCGAGGGTAAGGAATGATGAATAGCTGTGTCCATGTGAGACAGTTCTCTGTTTTCAACTAGAAAAGCTGAACAAGTCCTCTTCCCGCAAAGTGTTTGGACATCCTCATCCACCGAAGGGGTAGTAGCCAAGGACTGGAAACCATGGGAGTGAGCCGCTGGTAGCGAAAACCTAGGCGAAGACAGGCCGTCCTTAATCCTTTTAAGGCTTTTAAAAAGGCATGATCCAAGGACGCAGTGAGATGAGCAATTCAAGGCTGTGGTGGGAAAGTAATAGATGTCAAGTCTCGTCTCGTGGAGAAGGAATGAGATAAATCCTCCGGGTTCTGTGACATAGAGAGGTTGAGTTTCTCCACTATCCAAGCCAAAACTTGAGGATCATCGACAAAATCCAAACTTCAGAAGTCATAGCATGCTGAGATCGCAACTCGGAAAGCCATTGATTAGATCGACGATCCGTAGAATCTATGTCTGGAGGGGGGAGAGGATGCACAAATGGAGACCCGCTGAGGAGAACGGGAGCGAGAAGGGGAGATATCGCAACGATAACGATGATTCCTGGATCTTGAACGATAGGCAGCAGTCAACCGTGTAGGAGATCTAGGTTGACGGGTCGAGGGCGCAGAACCGGAAGTCCCATGAAGACGAGAAGACGAATTCAGAAAAGGTGACTTGGAACGAAGAACCGATCTCAACGAAGCAGAGGGAGGTGTGTGCTTAGTTGAATGTGAACGAGTCGAAGAGCGGTTTGTCGGCGGTGAAGTAGGCCTATCAGGTCTATCCGGTCAACAAATCTGAATAATAATAGGAGACTGATCCAGACAACTCAGTGAAAGCCGCTTCCGTGCTGAGGAGGCGTGACTGTAGGATCCAACAGAGTTCCGGGAAGTACTCAGATGATCCGGAGAGAGGCATTCCGCTGAACACCGCTTGGAAGAAGGCCATTTCGGCAAAACTCTATTCACCACATGCCGTTTCGGTGAAGTCTTCCGTTTCGGCGAACGTTGTTTTGATGAAGTACGATTAGGTGAAGTCAGTTTAGCAGACGATCAACCCGGAGAATGCTGACTCTTAGACTGGTGATTCTATGAAGAACGGTTCGGCGAAAGCTGTTTCAGAGAGCCGGTCTAATTCTGGGGAAGGTGGACTGTCCCGCGAAAGTCGAGGTGGAGGGAAGCGGAGAGGCGAAGCGTGATCCGACGAACTGTGATTCAATCTGGCAGGCTTCGGCGAAGCAGAAGATGGAGGTCGCTGGACGCAAGACACAACACTTCTGTTCGCCGAATGGGAAGGAGACGGCGAAGTAACCACTGACAAGTGTTGAGGCGAGGTAGACTGGTTTCTCTCACTACTGGATGAATGACGAGAGCGAGAACGGCTTCTGCGCAGTCAGGTGTACCGATCAGCTGATTCTTGTCCGAAACAGATAAGACAGGTTGCCGAGATAACTGGTCCGGTGAACGAGAGACACAGAGCGTAGTTCGAAGGTCCCTCTTTGTAGAGGTATCCTGAGGGATTGGTTAGCAGTCTCGACAACCACTACCAGGGACGTGGTCGAAGACGAAGGACTCGGGCTGGAATGTTGAGAGCCCAACAAATGCCGAACATCTTCCGATAAGTAAGAATCTGATGACGCTCTCATGAAATCCTCTTCATTCGAGTGAGGGGACTGTGACCGCCGAACAGACAAAGTAGGGTGCTTAAACTTTCATATCTTGGAGGGACTTAGTCTGTCAAGTGAAGCGGCATAACGAGCTCTGTCAGCAACACAAGCGCAAGCCAGAGTGTAGTCACCAAACGCCTCGAAGGTAAGATCCTTGCATTTATCGCAACAAGAGTCCCATTTACACTGTCCCATACAGTGAACACAATACCCATGTGGATCACTCGCGGAGAACCCCTTATTACACCAGGAGCATTTTTTCCTCTTCTTTGGCTGGTCAAATTTCCCTATGTTGTAGACTAAGTTGAAAACGTTGAGCAAAGTAAAATACGTCCACACTCGTGTGCGACAAGAAAGAGAATGATGATTCGGAGATAGTCACGTGGGCAGCTAGTGGTGCATGCTTTGCATGAGAGCTAGGAAGCTCTCTTGTAGTGAGGGTAGCATGGAGTGCTTGGGCGGATGGACAAGAGAGGCCTGGGTAAGACAGTTTATATCGTTCCACTCAGTGTCGAATTAAGAGAGAGAAGTGCATACCGTGAGATAGGATAAGTTTAAAAATGTGTATTTTAGCACCAATCTACGATGATACAATAATGCAACTGAAAAATCATGTAGTTTTGTCATCTCATGATGCGGAAAAACATGAAAAAAGAAAGAACAGTTATTGTGACGCCATTATCACATGTTTCTATCACAGATAAGGTACACCCCAAACTGTCCCCTGGCTACAATAAACTTTCAGCACTGACAAACATAATGAGGACAAACAAGGAATTAAAGGTTTCTTGGGCAAGCCCAAAATTCAATGTGTATCTATAGATGATTACAACGTAGAAATTGTACATATATAACTCTTTCAATCTTCATGTTTAAATGCCATATGTGTTGGCCCAATGTACAGTAATGTTATGTTATTACAGCACCTGTTGTAAAACAAATTCCCTCTTTGGCAATAACGTGTTATTATTATTATTATTTTACAGATTAAAGACAGTATGCAGCAGAGAGGGTTCAGGGTGATCCTGGCACAGTCAGGCTGGTAAGGCTCATCTTCAGCTCAGGGCCCTTGCCCCCCACTACACGCAGCCTAGACAGCTGACTTCTCCAAGGTAACACTGCCTAGTCGAACCCACCGAGATCTGCACCAAGATCAGGAGGTACCAAACCAAGGGCACCGAGAACAATGGGGAGCCTGACGACAGTGTACTTCGGATGCAAGCGAGACATTTCAAAGGCAAGGTCCGCATATTTATCATGCATTTCCTGAGTCTTGTCAATCACTTTGCTGTCAAAAGGGAAAGAAAATTCAATGATATAAATAAATTCATTGGCTTTATCAAAAAGGACAAGATCAGGTTTGTTGGCAGGAATTCTTCTGAGGCTGTGTATGGGCCTATTCCAGAGAAGTTTGATAGCATCATTTTCCATGACACCCTGGACATGTTCAGGGTCGTACCATGGATGGACCTCGGAGTCAAAGCCACAGGCATGTCGAAGACGGTAGTAAAAGCAACGAGCCATGCCATCATGTCGTTTAAGATATGCTGTTTGTGCCAAGAAGGGCATCCACTGACAAGATGTTGGACAGTCTCTGTAAATTCATTACACAGTCGACATTTCATATTGATATTTTCTTTAAGAATCACATTTTGGCGATTAAGAGTGGGAAGTGACTGGTCCTGAGCAGCAAAAAGGAAGCCCTCAGTTTCACATTTGAAACCAGCCGACTTCATCCAGGCGAAGGAGTCGATGGGATTGCTATTCTGTTCCACACACTGCATGTACACACGATGCAATGGCTTCTCAGAAAGCCTCTCCACAAAGACTGACTCTGGGCAGACTTGGTGAAGGACTTCAGCTGGTTTACTCCCATCGCTGTACCATCCAGCAGTACAACACCATCAACAAAATCAACCTCAAATTTCAGATTCTGTCCAACAACCTTGGCACGCTTAAAATAGCTGTGGAATTCCTTGCTTTCATCATGAGTCTTCACATGCATCACCAGAGGATCATCCGATAAATAAATATGTGCAAAAGTACACAAAAGAATGTCTTGTTTTGTCCAATCAACTACACCAAAGGAATAGGAGAGGACTGGCACAGCAAAAGTATTGGTGGCCTTGACCTTGTTTCGAGCATTTAGTTCTGAGCTCCAGATTTTCTTTCAGCGAGATTTGTACTCTGCCCGAAGTTTGTCTTGAATTTGGGCATTCTGGAGCTTGTCTCGAACTTGCATTCCAAGATAGGTGTAGGGCTGATCTTCCACAAGATGCTCAATAACTCATTATTATTATTATTATAAAGATACCACAATGATTTGCTGAGCATTTATTGCCCAAAATGTTTTTTGCACAAAGCAAACAAATAGTCTTGTACACTAAAATTTTATATGCATCATAACCGTCCCTTCCCTATTCCACTGCTTGAAGCTGGTGACATGTTACCTTGAGAGGAATGGATGAGCCATAGTTGTATCTGTAGTTAGATGCCTCCTCTCGGGCTTGGTCCACCAGGTGGCGTGCATCAGACAGAAGACCAGCCACAGCCTGCAGCATAACACCTCTTCATATGTATAGTGGAATCAACATAACTAATAGTTAAGACATTCAAAATACACAGCATTTGATTCACTGGAAAGAAAACTTTGTAGGAGCTGTGCTGGGAGAACTTTTCCTGTGTGTTACATGGACAAACCAATAATGCAATGGTAAAATATATAGCGTTGTAATAATAACTGAGACAAGGGTCCGACCAGCATGTGTCATTTCATTAAACATAATACTTGTCATTGGCATTAATATTTCTATTTCAAAGAAAAACAAGATAGAATGGTAACTGATTCCTCTACACATAGCATCACCAGTTAACTTACCCCTCCTATATGTTTGTCAATATTGAAGATCCGCTTGTTTGAGCCTGGTTCATACAACTTTGATGTCACCAGTTTTTCCACACCAAATACTACACCATCCTTGCCACGAATGCCTATAGCTGTCCTGTAGCCGAATAAATACATAGGTATTGAATTTATATCAGAAAGCTCTAATGTTTATCTAAGAAAGGCATAGTACTAGTATTCTCAAACATGATATAGCATGCACAGGGAATGCTAAAATTATGAATGACATATCATGTTTTTACACATGCACAACAGCAAATGGGAATACTAACCATCAGTCAAAAACATCTTTTCTAGAGTAAAAATAGTATTATACACTTAATCTGACGCATACTATTTGCTTCTCTCTCCCCCTAAACCCTGAAATATAGTAGAAACATTCAGTGTTATGATCCAAAAGAATTATTTGCTTTAAACAGTTGGTAGATGGTTGGCAGCCACCTGAATTTGAATTCATGCACTGTTAACATAACACCACAGGGAATTTCCAATCTTCTTAAAAACTTAATTAAAAGGGGTACAACATTCTTTTGGGAACAAAAGAAGTATATCTCGAATATTTTATGGATTTGTATAAAATAATGTAATTTTCTGAATAAAATTGATATTTTATACTTATCCTGACTCATGCTCTTTTGCTTGTCTTCTTCTTCTTGTGAACATAGTGGAACACTGGTATCTCCCTAATTGAAGCTCCCTTCAATGTAAAATCACTAATTAGTACTCACCACGAGTTGCCTCCCTCTTCCATTTGCGTGGGAAAGGAGGCGCCACCCTCTGGCCTCATGCTTCACTCTCTCCTGATATAGCGAGCCCAACACTTGAATTTACAGGGAAATCCAAAGTGTTATGTGGGGAGGATGGGAGGGCTTACCTCATGATTCAGGATAAGTATAAAATATCAATTTTATTCAGAAAATTACATATTTTTCCTTATCCTGACTCATGCTCTTTTGCGTGCAGAATCCTACGGAAACGGAGGTGGGAAAAAAACAGAATACTTTGGATTTAAATAATTAGTGATTTATATATATATATGTACAGTGAAGCCCCGTTAGTCCGGACTCCGATAATCCGGAAGTCTCGCCTCCCGGGCGATTTCAGCTTGTTACGAATCTATGCCTATATAATTTGCCTCGATAATCCGGAAATTCGGTTTCCGGAACCGGACGGTAAGTAGCTGTCACCAATCAGTAAAATAAACAGTAAATTGCTTCACAGTCCGGACGCTGTAAGTCGTGTTCACGAACCATAACAACACCGCCCGGCGATGTTTACTTAATTAACTGGCCAACTGGGTTGTTTTAATTAGACATAAAAAGCTCCCGACTGAAGATACTGTACATTTACACTTTGATTGACACCACAATACAAAGGCGTGGATGACAAGTGAACTGTTTTGTGATTGGTTAATGTACTTTGACAGACAGATCCGGTCAAGTGGACTAAAAGTGATTTTGCTTTACGACAATGCTGCAAGTCACAAGTGTGCTTCGCTAACTTTGCGAAATGTGACCAAATACCACGTCTCATATTCAACCGATGGATGCAGGAATAATTCGGACATTCAAGGCATACTACAATAGATCGCTTGTTAGACATTACCTCACCTGTGCTGAGGAAGGACGTGATCAGACACGTCGGATCAACATGCGGATGTCACTCGGTAAAATTATTGATGTGATGAATTAAGCTTTACATTAAATGCTTATTTGTTTTATCCAGATTCGTGTCGTTTTTGTAATTCTTAGGGAAGCAACTTGGGTCTTGATTCAGTAGTCCGGACTATTCGCAATCCGGACGAATTTACTGAGAAACGCAACCGTCCGGATTAACGAGGCTTCACTGTAATAACCCCCTACGGGAACTTCATAATGGCACTGAATTAGGATAATTCCTGCTACTATAAACCATAAGTTTACCAGCTGCCATAGATGGGGTACTACAATAATTATATACCATGATAATAGCAATAATGGTATAAAAGTGACTCCAAAATGGAGAAGATACCCAACTGTACATAAACATCAGTACTGGGCTTAAGACTAAGTAGACTTAAGATATGTATATAAATAGTTATAAGCTAGATGATACTGGTATGATATATACATAATAAGCTAGATGATACTGGTATGATATATACATAATAATCTCGTGAGACTATGTCTCATCGTCTACGAGGGACTGTCAACTGCTGTGCGAGGACAATGGGACCGAAATGGTGAATACCTGAGACGTCCTCGGTGGTGATATCTCTCAGATAGTGATTAGCAAACACCATGTCGGATTTCCAAAAGCAGCCCTCCATAATGGTATTTAATGAGCAGTTACCGTGTAGAGGGAGAGGGAGAGGGATGAATAATCGCTTGAGATGTCGTCGCCTCGTTTTGGATCGTCGTAGATAGATTTTGAGAGCTCTGACTGGGCATAGAGATAGGTCAAGCGTATCTTGAGATCCGAGAATTGAGGAGAGTGCAGGAACATGGAATAATCTGTCTGGTTGACCTGGCAATTGATTCTTGGCGATGAAATCCCATCGTAGTCCCATGTGCACTATGTTTTGATTGTCGTCAAAACGTATTCTCTCATAATCTAGTGCGTGAATTTCTGACATCCTGGCTGCCGTTGCTAAGGATAACAGAAACAATGTTTCCTGTGAGAGAAATTCAAAGGTTGTTGATTCCAGTGGTTCATAAGCCTCACTTGTGAGGTGTTGGAGCACTATAGTTAGATCCCATGCTGGAGCGCGGAATCTCTGTTTCTGATCCTCCAATCGGAATGCCGTAGTAAGGCCAGTAACTCTGGCGTCTTGGTTAACTTGACACCCGTTCTCATAGTTATCACAGAACTAAGCGCGGCAAGATATGTTGACAATGTCGAGCCTTTTAAATGTTTATTTTGTCATAGGTAACACAGATAGGCAGCCACTTGTGGATGTGTAGCATTTCTAGCTGTAAATCCCTTTTTTGCTGCGTAAGTTTCAAAACTGTGCCACTTGTCGTTGACAAGTTGCGTGTAGAATAGTGTAAGGCAAGCGTGACTGCTTTCGCCGCTCTGGCTGAATAACCTCTCTTGTTTAGACACACTTTAATACAGTCCATACGGAAGTTGGAATGCTTCTGGGTTTCCGTGCTTTGTTTGGTGTGAGGATGTATTAGTAGATTCGAACGCTTTGGTAGCTCTAGTGTTGGTTGTCCGATTTCTTGAATTAGAATGGGAAACCACGTTCTCGCTGGCCAGTAGGGCTCGACTAAAATCAGTTGGAGACTCTGTGTTTGTCTGATTTTCTGTAACACTTGTGCGATTAGCGCTGGCGGCGGAAACGCGTACGCGTTGAGGCCTTCCCAGGATATGCTTAGCGCGTCCGTTGCCCACGCTTGTGGATCCGGGACTGGTGATACGAATGTTGTTAGCTGATTGTTGAAGCGAGTGGCGAATAGATCTACTAACGGAGCTCCTATTTGCTTGATTATCTGTGCAAAGACTTCTGTATGGAGCATCCATTCTGTCGGTGACGGTAGGTGTGGCCGAGAGAGTGCGTCTGCTAGTTCATTCTTGGCTCCGGGAATGTGACATGCTCTGACATGTAAGTTGAGATCGTCGATTAGATCGAACAGTTGAAAGCATAAAGTCAATATGTTTGTTTACATAAAACGCCACTGTTGAGTGGTCGGTGTGAATCATCAGATGCGCCTTCTGTAGAATGGTGCTCCAATGTAGTATGGCGTTGATTACTGCTTTCATCTCTAGCATGTTTATGTGGAGCTTGTTTTCTTGCTGATTCCATAGCCCTGATGCCGTCCGGTTGGCGAGATGAGCTCCCCAACCTTGGAGCGACACGTCTACATAGAGATGGGTTTTGAATTCCGGCTCTGTTAAATAAATGCCTTCGCAGACATTCGACCTCCTGGTCCACCATAGTAGATGAGGTCTGATGTGTTTCGGTAGACTGAATGGCTGTAGGTCGTCGAGATGAGCGTTGATGAAGACCTGTAACGGACATAACTGTAGTCTGCCTCTGACTGTCATGTCTTGGGCTGACGTGAGGAGACCCAACAGACTCTACCATTGTCGTAGTGGTAGCGGAGAGAGTAAGGCTTGTGGGATGGTCTGTTGGATCTTGAGCCATCGGTCTTCTGGTAGGACGATACAGTTCAGTATCGTGATAAATCGAATGCCTAGAAATTGCAGATCTTGCGTAGGTTCTAGGTCCGACTTGAGTAGATTTACTAACCATCCTAGCTGTGTTAGTAGCTTGATGATGAAGTTTAACTGTAGTTTGAGACGCTGTGGATCTTGATCCACTTGTATCCTGTCGACGAGGTAGAATGCACTGCGTAGTCCTTGACGATGTAGGGGCTGATCATCATACAGGTCCAGTTCTGCGGCGGGAACAATCTCGGCTGAGAAGGTTCAAGAAGACTTCGTCGATTTCCCCTTGGAGGTAGACGCTGCCCTGGGGGTACGGAGTCTGCGTTGAGATGATGTCGAAGCCCTCTTGGTCTTTGGCTGCGACAACGGGATGTCTGGGGATGCAGGACGCTTCTTGGAGACGGTGGACTGCGTCCCACGCCTCTCCTCCGAGGGTAACTCTAGCGGAACACAAGACGGGAGGGGGTCGTCCGACAGCAGCTGACTGGTGAGGGGTTCCGAAGTATCGGCCATGGCTAAACCTTGTTTGCGTGACCTATCTGCTGCACGTCTAAAGACGCAAAGATAATATTTGTTAAATGCAGAATTAGACAGATTAATACAGTAACTGCAATGTGAAGAAAACGCACATGGCGTAGTACAGCTAGGGCATATTTAATGCGGATCAGCAGCAGAAAAACTTAATCTACAAATAGTACAGATTTTCATCAACGTAAACTTGCTGAACAATTCACGGCGTCCCGTGAATAAACAGCAGAAATACGATTAATTATCAATACATAATTGTTGAAGGATACTAGCTACACCTCTATAGTAAACTATAAGAGGTAACTAACTAAGAATAATCAAAGGATATAGTGTGTAGGGAGACACAGGCGCTCTCACATTCTGCTCACTGGGCGAAGAAGGAGAGAGTCCAGCATGAGGCCAGAGGGTGGCACCTCCTTTCCCACGCAAATGGAAGAGGGAGGCAACTCGTGGTGAGTACTAATTAGTGATTTTACATTGAAGGGAGCTTCAATTAGGTAGATACAAGTGTTTCACTATGTTCGCAAGAAGAAGAAGACAAGCAAAAGAGCATGAGTCAGGATAAGGAAAAATATTATAGCTTGTCTTAGGACAATCCATGAATAGGTCATAAACTAAATTGAATTGTATCACTCATGCTCTGAATAAGAGAGTAAACTGTCTGATTGAATAGATCTTAGTTGTAGTCTGCCTCTCACTATGAGTGCTTATGCTGATATGAGGAGTCCTAATATCACCTGTCACTGCTTGAATGTGAACATTAAAACTCTGTATTATCCACCAATCATCTGGTACTAGAATTACATATTTTGTCCGTAAGGAATCTGATTCCTAGAAACTTAAGATTTTGTGAAGGAAAAATACAAAATACATATTGCACAAGCTGAACTTTTATTTTGGACACTTTGAAGTTTCATGCAAGATCCATATTGTTCGGTCACTCACCCACTGTTTTCAACAGCTTTTTGAGCATATTCCACCTGGAACACACGTCCATCAGGAGAAAACTGAGACGCAGACAGGTCATACTGAAACATAACATGGGACAGATGCTATTTTCATGGCATTATAATTCATATTGTATAAAATTGTACATCATAATTCAATGTCAACACTTAAAGTCACTTTCACTAGTTTCAGTAAGTGAGTGAGTTTAGTTTTACGCCGCTTTTAGCAATATTCCAGGCAATATCACAGCTGGGGACACCAAAAATGGACTTCACACATTGTACCCATGTTGGGAATCGAACCTGAGACTTCAACGTGACGAGCAAATGCTTTAACCACTAGGCCCCAACTCACTTTCAGACCTTTCTGGGGTCTAACTGGTATGCTAGAGCAACCTATTTGGCACTGTTGATGTGGGACAGCACATTTCTATTGATCTTGGGGATTCCGTTCCTTTCATGTCATCATAGTCAAAAGATGTGGATAGTGATGCTAATTAATCAAATAGTTTGTGGTGAAGAGGTTGGCAACACTATCACAGATTTGAACACGTGTACTGTTAGGAACTCAGAAATGTATACATAACTTTATGTGGGGAGTACGTATCTGCTCATGTTAGTCAAATAACAACATGCACTTGCTTGATAACGGTGTTAGCATCTACACCAATAACGGTGTAAGCATCTCGACATAAAGAAGTTGTCGGTCCATAAGAAGCGTTCCTGTTCATCAGACGAGCTTCTTAGTGCCACTCAAAGAAGTTAATGTTATGTTACAATGCTTATGCTAAAAATTATCCGTCATGAGACGTTCTTCGAACCTGGTCATTCAACGGCCCCATTCAACTGAGTTATTCCGGAGGCATTAGCGTGTATGCTTCGTTTCTTTTAAAAATAATCGTTGTTCTTAGCAAGGGCCTAAAAATGCCGAAACGTTCCTTTGATTAACAAAGAATTATTTCAACGTTGCAATTAAAATCACGATTGTTTTTCAAAGGAAATGAAACGTTTGATGACATGAAATGATGATACTTACACCTGTTCCAATGGAACTCATAGTTTATATCGTTCTGTTTGTCGCCTTTACTTCGCTAAGTCATGCAGCCGATGAAATTTCTACGACGCATGCCCAAGCACCTGCTTCCGGATTGCAAAAGTTTAATCTGCAGTCGAGATTTTATATCTTGTTCGTTTTGAAGCATTTTTAAATATGATGACATATCCTATATGATTACACGGCTCTAAATATATTATTTTCGTAAGTAAATATGAAGTGCAGACTGTATCATAAATAATTAGAAACATTTCATATAGAACGCGCTTTACAATATGCTTTCCGCCTACTAGTTTTATAAGAAACTCAATGACATTCGCTCTTCCGGAAAGGATTGTTTACATTTTTCATCACTTGGAGAAATGTATAAGTATGTTCCTGTTATGTCTTTGCCGATTTTCAGTCATATTTTAATGCATTGTATAAGTGATAATGCGCTTTTTATTATCATGCTGAAAGTTGGATATATCTTGTGACCGAGTAGGCAACAACTGAGACCACAGCCATAGGAGATGTTGGCAGATCTGTCATTAGTTTATGGAATAAATTGGAAGTCTTAAATTTTACACTTGTTTATTATAAATGTGCAGCCTGCCCCTTGCAATTAATTTAGCATCAGTGTAGGATTTCGTATAATGCATATCTAACTTCATGCAGTGCTGTATACTGAGGCGTACGAGGAAGCTATGTACCATGAGCCAGAGACAGATAGTAACTAGTAAGCTGACTGTTCTGAGGGATTGTTTGTAAAAAGTAGGCAATAACCTCTGGGCATACTTGGCTTTTTATCCCATGGTTGTAGGGTTATCGTGTAACCAAAGTTTTCCCTTGCTGAAAGCAAATAGGCCAATTGCAAGCCTTTAGTGTGCTTTTGCATGTTTTAAATACATTGGTCATAGAAATCTTATCGGTTGCATGTCTTCATAATACAGACATTCTACTACAACAGTGAGGTGCATGACAATGTAGCTTTTCACATCAAAGTAAACATATTGCTAATTCTCCAATGACTTCACCTGGGGACTAAATAAACAAACAGGAATAGTATATACAAACACATTTGTGCCAATCTTAAGAGAGACAATCATACAATCTTTGTTTTAACAAAGACATGCAGACATTTATAGATATATATCTTCAATATATTAAGAGAGCCATGCAACACAAAACAGAAATCCCTGCCCTAATCAGTGGATTGAGTTTGCACTCTGAACTTTAAAAATGATCACTTAGATATGCAATTCACGGAGAATGAACAAAGTTTTTGTAAACTTTTTAAGTCACTAAAATATATTAATGTTGAATGTGACGCTATGAATACTTTATTAACTGAAGAGAAAAAGTAGCACGGCATGTTGACAAGAAATCCTATTCGGTCGAACGAGGGACCACATTGTGCAGAATTGCAAACCTGACACTGAGAAGTATGGACATAGGGTTGAAGCTTACTACAATAGGGGGTTGATGCGCTACACCCTGATATCAAATTTTCAAGATTAGACTCATAGTGATGAAAAACATGTACCAAAGCCGATTCGTCTCCCCTCGCTGCCATCTTTGACTATTTGCATGCTGTTTCAGGATGCTATGACTGCCGTGTTGGGATGCTATGACTGCTGTTTTGTACCGTTCTCACACGCTCTTGTAGCTGAGTTTTGTTTCCAATTCAAACGATTAATCTTCCATTACAGATGTATTGTTTCGGTTTTAGAGGATATTGTTGCAGTTTTGGAAGTTTTAGTTACCTATTTTGGTGATTTTTGTTCTGTTTTGGTGTATATGAGTTCAGTTTTGATGATTTGTTCACCATTTCTATGGTAGGCCTGTATATCATTGCTTGTAGAATAATTTGGCCTGAAACCAGTGTGAGTTTCAGATAGAATATAGTTTTGATCACACCAACTTTGTACATTTTCTTGAGGAGAGCACAAAGTACCTTACCCCCAGAGTCCATGAGGGATATTGCTCTGTAGTTACCAGGATCATTGATATTGCCAGGCTTAAGAACATCAAGAAGTGGACAGATTTTACTGCTTCCCACACTGGTTTGGAAATGTTCTATATCAAACAATTTCATCAGGTTTTCTTTTCATGTTTTTAATCCTAAATAAATTTAATCCCCTGAAAAAGGGGATTAAGAACATTAAGAACATCATAAATGATATGTTTGAATCCATTGCAGGAAACCATTTTCTCAACAATGTGACTGAGCTAACTGCTTGAGAGGCATCTACAGTAGACTATCGAGATGTATTCTGAGTGGGCCTCTCTCCAGGAGGAGATCCAGTGTGACAAGGGCAACCAGTCGGTGCTCCACAAGTTCCCAGCTCAAGTAGGGCGAGATGTGGCCTGCAGCGTGGTGCGGCGCCATATATCAGGGAACCTCAGCATTGCTGCCGCCAATGATGAACCCAGCAGTCTGCAAGATGACAAGGACATTAAGTGGACCATGGAGGTAATGAGGGGATTCCTGTGTTTGTTGCTTCAGGCTTCTAAGCCTATTTTAATCAAGTATTGGAAATATAACTCACTTGCTGAAAAGATGCATAAAGTGTTCACTCCTAGCTCTGGTTCCATTCCTCATTTTGTTTTGATGTTAGAACCCCATTTCGTACGAACGCCATTTTGATATTTTGATATTCACCCACTCGCTTGGTGGAATGAAGGGCTGAAATTAGTGTAGAATTGGCCTTCAAATCTTGTAATCACTGTTTCTTTATTCATTATATTATATTATTTGAACATTAGTTGGATTCCATAGGTGCCATGGAACGATCCGTAGGGCTGTCCATAGACCAACACATGGCCCTTCATAGGTTGCCATGTAGGCTTATTCAGAGGCCAGTCCATATTTTAAAGCAACAATTGTCAGGTTACTAAATCATTACCTTAGACATGATAAATCATAGACCAACCCACCCGCCATTCCACAGACAAACCCATGAAACTATCCATAGACCAACCCATCCGCCTGTCCACAGACCAACACAGGCCTATCTGTAGAGCAAACCATCAGCCTGTCCACAGACCAACACAGGCCTATCTGTAGAGCAACCCACCAGCCTGTCCACAGACCAACACAGGCCTATCTGTAGAGCAAACCACCAGCCTGTCCACAGACCAACACAGGCCTATCTGTAGAGCAAACCACCAGCCAGCCTGTCCACCACAGACCAACAGGCCTACAGGCCAAACCATGTCCACAGACCAACACAGGCCCATCTGTAGAGCAAACACCAGCCTGTCCAGGCCTATCTGTAGAGCAACCCACCAGCCTGTCCACAGACCAACACAGGCCTATCTGTAGAGCAAACCACCAGCCTGTCCACAGACCAACACAGGCCTATCTGTAGAGCAAACCACCAGCCTGTCCACAGACCAACACAGGCCTATCTGTAGAGCAAACCACCAGCCTGTCCACAGACCAACACAGGCATATCTGTAGAGCAAACCACCAGTCTGTCCACAGACCAACACAGGCCTATCTGTAGAGCAAACCACCAGCCTGTCCACAGACCAACACAGGCCTATCTGTAGAGCAAACCAGCAGCCTGTCCACAGACCAACACAGGCCTATCTGTAGAGCAAACCAAGGGCCTATAGATATGGAGATCATCCTAGCAGCAGTTGTCAAGTTACTGTATCATTACCATAGACATGATCACTTGCATCACACCTAGGGGTTGGTCTCATTCATTAAGTGTAAGGACCTTATATTGCAAGTGTGTTTGTTCCTATTCATGATCTCTCAATAATTTATACATTGATTGCTTTTCAAACTTAAAATTGTTGCAAATTTCCTTACAGCATAGGATCGCTTTAAATATGTTATTACTCAAGTTTCTACTAAAACAGGGCGGTGGGGTAGTCTACCAATTAAAGCGTCTGCTCGTCAACCTGAAGACATGGGTTCAATTCCCCACTTGGGTACAATATGTGAAGCCCATTTCTGGTATCCCCTGCCGTGATATTGCTGGAATATTGCTAAAAGCGGAGTAAATCTACTCACTCAATCAACTATTAAAACAAATTTCCCATGTTCATTTCCTTGCCTGTTTACAGTTAAATACCTATTTCATCTATGTGCCATTATCTATGCAGAGTTTCCTCCCTTAGCAGTAAAGTCCAGTTTGTCATAGGTTTAAATCTATGAAGGCTTCACTCTACTATTAGGAGGCAAAGTGTACAATAATATAAATATTGTTCAAAGTGACATAAAACCATAACCACTCACTCAAATGGGTGATGGTGTAGTGTGTTTCCCTCAGAGCTCGTGATTTGAGTTCCAGCCCATACATTATAGTACATAGGTACAGACAAACTCTGGAAGATCGATTTCATATGAGCTTCCCTGATAGATGAGAAGACATTGCAGCTCTGATCAACCTGGCTTTAACTTAGAGAGTTAAGCCATGCAGGTCTTCAGCAGTGACCAAATGGAACAGTTGGTCAAGCTTGGTGTTTTGGTTGAATTGCATGTCTGTATACTCCACAAGGATTGATCGTTGTTTACAACATGGATCAGTGGATTAACCTGCAGGACACCCTTTATAATATTACTATTGCTGACCGTAGTGTTAATAAATGACTGGTTTATTGAGGTGGTTTCATCCATGTGGAATTAGCTATAGTGAGGGTCAGCAGGGCTCTAGAGATCCAGGGGTCAAATCACTGCAATTTGCTTTTCACCCCAGTCTGCCAGCATAACATGCTGTCATACAATCTGAAAAACTGTTTAAGCAGTTTCTGAACTGAGTGACTGACTTGTTGCTCGGTTATCCAATGTTTTCAGATCTGGGTTGTCAGTGGTACCAAGCAGGCTAAGGTGTGTTGTACTGGACACATTACAAACAACGTGATGTTTCAGGGCTCACAAACTGCTATTGCTGCCTTGCGTGCGGCACTCATAACATAGGTTATGGTACAGTTGAATGTTATGTCTATTGCCTAGGGGGCACTCATTAGTAGTTATCAGTGATTCCGTTAACTGTATCTCTCCAACATTTGATCAGAATGTTCAAGATTGATCGAGACATGTTTGAATGTATTGACATCTTTACATATTTTAATGGAATATCACAAATATTACCCAAGTCTTGTGTTTCAAACGGAAGTGGATTTCTTCAAGCCTACTGCAGGTACTTCCAATGAAGTTACTGCCACCAAAGAGCAAGGGACACAACCTGTTTTGCTGCGTACGATTGCAAGTGCTTACATTGAAATTGTAAAAGGCTTAAGAATCCAAAATGCATACAGAACTGACCCATGTAAAAGTCCAGCTGTAGATGAACCTGTGCCAAAATTTATCTAAAAACATATCAACATGAGGTTTTCAAAACAACTGTCAAAAAGATGGCTATATAAATTGTACGTAATGGTTCAGGAGTTTCAGAACCAGCACTCTTGAAACATATTTTCAATCCAGTGTTCATTAAATGCATTAGTTTGTCATTATATAGGTGAATTGCAGTCAGACTGTAAACCATTTTCTACTGTGCCATTAAAGGCTGAACATGTGATTTGTCAGTGACAGCAAGGTCTATCATTATCATTACACTGCTGTTGTGATGATAATCTGTCATCTGTATGTTTCATGTAACAACTTAATGGTGAATGTTGCACATGATCATTCTTCTGTACTATACAACAAAATGCTTGTGTAATTAAAACATTGGATCTCATTTGCCTTAGGGTTTTTTTAGTTTTTTTTTCAATATTTTTATTCATTTCAGATAGGTATACAAAGACAGGGAGTACACAACTCCATGTTAGGGCTGGATACATTTTGGCAACAAAGAGTTACAAATTTTCAAAGTAAGAAAATATAGTTACTAGTATACAAAGTCAGGGAGTGCACAACTCCAGCAGCAAGCTTCATGGGTTACAGGCATGTTCTAGCTAGTTATACATCAGCAACAAAGATTTACTAATTTCGAAGTATGAAAACATAGGTACATAAAGTCAGGGAGTGAACCACTCCAAACAGCAACAGGCATGTTCTAGCTAGTTATACGGGTTACAGGCATGTTCTAGCTAGTTATACACCAGCAACAAAACATAGGTTTACTACTTTCGAAGTATGAAAACATAGGTACACAAAGTCAGGGAGTGCATCGCCCCAGCAACAGACTCTCTGGGTTACAGGCATGTAAGAGCTGGTTATACATCAGCAACAAAGAGTTGCAAATTTTCAAAGTGTGATAATATAGGTAAACAAATTTTCAAAGTGTGATAATATAGGTATACAAAATCAGGGAGTACACTACTCCAGTTGCAAACTCCATAGGTAAGGCACTTGGAGCTGGTTATACATTGGCAACAACAAATTACAAATTTTCAGAGTCTGAAAGTATAGGTACATAAGTCAGTACATGACTGCAGCGACAAGCGAGTAATTAATATTCTTATCGTTGTTCTTCTCCTTCTTATTCTTATTCTGATTATTCTTATTATTCTTCTTCTTCTTATTATTATTATAGGATATTTATAAGATGTTAAAACCTGGTTATCGCTGACAACAGAGTTACTAATTTCAAAGTTTGCAAGGATGGGTATCGAAAGACAAAGTGCAAACCTCCAGCAGCAAACTCATGGGTCGTAGGCATGTTGGAGCTGATTATTTATTGGCCCAGAGACTTGCAGATTTTCAAAGTTCGAAATAAAGCTATTAGGCCATTTTTTGTGAAATTTGTTAAGCCTGTTGTTTTTCTTAGCTATGTATTTTTCGACAAATACAATATTCTGTATTATTTTCAGAAATCCTGACATTTGCAGCTGTCTGTTGTTTATACTTGAGATATATATGAATCGTTTCCCAGCGAGAATAATGTTGTTAATAAAATCATAGCCAGTGTTAAGTCCCAACAGGATTGTGAAATCTGAGAGTACAATGTCAATGCTAAAAGTGTTTTTAATAAAAATCCTTAGTTTACTCCAGAACATCTGTACATGTTCACACGATACAAAAACATGGATAATATCCTCTGGTTCTGATTTGCAAAATGTACAAATATTTTTGTCAATCAATTTCATCTTTAACAATTCTTTTTTAGTATATATAATCTTGTGGATGATTCTAAATTGAAAATCCAATAATTTAACTTTCCGAGTACACTTTCTATAGTTTGTAAACACAATACTCCAAGGCAATGTACTCTGAGTCATACTTTCCCACTTGTTACACACCTCAGGTAGCTCACATGTTTTAATCAATTTGTCATAGAACCTTCTACAACCTTTTGAAGGTATAATAAGTTCATACACTATGTCATTAATACCCACATTTTGAGTCTCATTAATAGAATTATTGACAGTATGTCTCCATGAGACAGGGATATTTTCAAAAGTTTATTGTAGTCTAGAAATGTTCCTCTAACTGGATACCTATTCTTGAACTCATTAAAAGAAAGTAGACCGGCAGATTTACAGAGGTCTTTTACTTCAGTGATTCCATACTCAAACCAACTTTTAAGAAAAAAAGGATGAATCAACAAACTGGTGATTAAACCAGAGGGGCTCAGAGAGTATTTTAGACAGATCATTCTCATCAGTTATGAATAGGCTTCTGTATCTCTTCCATGATAGATGAACATCTTTCCAATATGGGTTGTCCACAGTGCAGAACTGATCAATGTTTGAACCCACCTGAGCAAGTTGACGAATAGGAACATTGACAAGGGTTATTAGCGTCATTGTTAAAATACCTCTTAATAGTGGCTAGTTTCAATGCAGCAATAAAGGATTTTAAATCAATCATCCTAATTCCTCCTTCCCTGTAATCCTTTTTCATAGTCGTCCTCTTTATCTTATCAGGTTTACCACTTCAGATAAAAGTGAAAAACATTTTCTCAATATCATCCACGAAACATTTAGGAGGATTAGGGAGTGATGTGAAAATGTGTACTAAAGTAGATACAGCCAAGGTTTTAATTACAGTTATCTTCCCAGTAATAGTCAACTTCCTTTTTCGCCAATTCCCAAGAATGTTTGATATAACTTTTAGCCTTTTCCTGGTGTTGATAACCCACAGGTCATTCAAATCAGCATTTAAAACAATACCCAAAACTCAAAGTTCCCTAAGTGCCAGTCCAGGCCATATTCACTACATATTATATCTTTACTGTCAGCCATAGCTCCAATCCACAGGGCATTTGCCTTAGTTGCCTTTTGCTTTAATTATTAGGTAAAATAGACAAAGTACACTTAAACCAGAAATAGCACACCTGAAAAACAGGTCAAGTGAATTTGGCTACACCTGATGTTTTTTTCTAATTTAGAGCCCTGTGTTTAGGACAAATCCTTTCAGTTACACACAGAAGTTTCTAATGTCACAAGATTTAGTGCAGGCTGTAATCCTGAATACATGAAAAGTACAGAAGGAAATTGTCAGATTAAAATAAGAACAGAACAAACAAAAGATTTTCGATTATGCTTAATATTTGTTTATATGAGTATTACAATACATATCACCAAGACCATTATCCAGAGCATGCCAAGGCAATAACAAGCACTTGTCCAGGTTCATAGGAGACATTACCATTCACTCCCACTGTCGCCTCCATGATGACTGCTGATTTCCACTCAGTTCACCAGATCCCTTCTTTTCCATTAGTATATATATATATACCAAGCAGTAATGCAAGCATAGTACATATTGTATATGGTGCTTGAATGCTTAATTAGCATGCAAACATAAAAGCTTTGCATTTGCATATTTTTAAATCTAGGATTGATTAAATCAACAAAATGTGACCAATGTGGACACTGTTTCTTTCTTGAACTCCTTCATCTACAACCTTTCCGGGGGCTTCATTCAGAATTCTGAAAATCCAAATATTTCAAAGTTACCATTTAATGTGTGGTATTCCTCAAGGAAAAGAGAAATAATAAATAAAATTATAGAAGTAGATACTGATAATCTGTGAAAACTAAGAGCTAGCCTTATCAAACATTTCTTAGTATGATCAGTATTTCTTTGGTTTCCTCTAACATAAACCTGGAACATCTTCTGTGTGTAATATTCTTAGTCCAGGGGACACAATAGTTTACTATTCAAACTGTTTTGTTACTACGAGTTGTTTGAAAACTGCAAGTACCCTCTGAGTGAAAGTTGCCTCCCATTTACTCTTTGCCATCAGAGTTGAAGTTTTGGTCTCCCTTGGTGTCATCTCTACCACTGGCTTTCTCATTGTCATGTTGGATGCTTCCAGGGTCTTCAGGATTAGAGTTGCCTCCTTCCCTGCCACCATCACCTTTGATGCTTTCCTTGGCACCAGTGTATTTAGATCCACAGACCTGAAGGTTTCCATTCTCGGCAATGTTTGGGCCATTTGCCATTGTTCCATCTGACTCAGCGCTGGTGATGTGACAATCTGACCCAAGTGTCAGCTCAATCTGAATATAAAAACAGAAAATCATTTTTTCAAGTAAGAAAGGAATAATGTATGTGAAACATACCTTTGATTCCACTGTCATTGCACTGGTACTTTCTTACAGTTTTCCCAGAAATTACACAGAAAATCTTTGTTCCTAATACTGATAATAGAATTTTAAAATAAGTGTTACATTGTGTAGTACTCTTGTAGGCTTAAGAATGAACCTTACTACATCAAAGCTTTATTTGTTGACATGGCAGATTTAACAGCAGAAGAGAAAAGAAATCGGGTTCTAGATGATTTTGAAAGGGTGGTGAGTAATGCAAAAGAGTTAGCTGGGAGGCATGGCATTCCTCTGTCTACAGTATACAGAACTTTGAAGAATATTCAGTCAGGAGTTGGGATTGAGCACAAGATGGGGTCAGGGAGGCCAAGGAAGTCCAGTACTTCCAGGAATTCCCGTATTTAAGCCCCGGGCAATTCGAAAATGCACAATATTTTGATAAAAATGAAAAGAATTGGGATTTTTTAAAACTCTTTAAGACGGAAACTGGTCTTTAAATTCAAAATTGAAAGTTACGAAAATGTTTACTTGAGTAAATGTGAACGTGAATGATAAATTTGACAATCTGATTAGTGCAAAACACGAACTTCAAACTTAATCTGCCATTCAGATGATCTGGAACTTTATTTCCATTTTCGGAAATAAATTCAGTCTTAACTTGTTTTACAATTTCAAGTTTCTGAGCAAGAGGGTAAGATTTCCTTGAGATGATTGATTGTTCATAAAATGATTAGTCAACTTCAATATCAACAAGTAAACGAGGTAATTTAAAAAAATCGTTCTTAAATCCAACAAAGACAAATGATTCAGGAATTTCTAGTCCTCCACGTGGCAGATGTGAATGTCTGGGTTGAGTGTCATATACCTGCATTTGAATGACTCAGCCCCTTCTTATAAAGAAATTACACACACTGCTTTGCTTAGGTAGAATATGATCAATGACCACATGGTTAAATTTAACTGCAACTGCATGCACCTCACAGGGGTTAAGATGTTCAATGTCTGTGTCTAATAAGTGCCCAGTAACTGCTGTCCAAAATGTTCTGTAAACGTGATAACCCAGTGTTCACGAATAGCATCTGACCCTCTGACAAATCCGGCAAATTTGCCAACAGTCCGATAGAAGTCGACAACCTGCCGGCCTCAGTGTCTGACTGTGTATTTCACAATGACTTTGACTGAAGTTGTTATATGTGACATGTGACACTTGTTTGCTGCTCATAAATCTTATGTTTTTTAATAATTTCAATACCAATTATAAGAAATGTTCAATCTGAAATGTATGTTTAATTTTATTCTATGGGTCCTGTGAATTTTCAATGAGTCAGACAGACATCTGAAACTTACAGGACCCAATGTCCTGTTACTTTGAAACACCATTCATGAACACTGATAACCTCGCACAGCACTACTTAAATATAGAAAAAAAGACCATGAGCTTAAATATGGAAAAAAATCCTGTATTTAGCACTTGGGCTAAATTTCGCATGGGCCTAAATATGAGAATTCCCGGGTACGGATCGCCACCGACTTGGTCAGGAAATTGGGGAAAATTGAAAAGCGTTGAGAATGTCATAAATGAGATGATTAATAGAGGAAGTCCTCAGGTATGTAATGAAATCCTGAGACAAGAATTACAAAGACTTAACTGGGTGATATTTCAAGGAATTCCCTCACCACTGATGAAAGATGCACAAAAAGAATGACATTTAATCTGGATTGGGGGCTCACAAAAATCTGGCTTGGGATAATGTTTTCGTTTCTGATGAAAGTTCTGTCTAGCTTTTTCTGAACTGTGTGAAAATTTGAACTAAAGATACAGTGAAACCCATCTACCAACGCCCAAAACATAGCCCTAAATTTCACATATAGGGTGGGATATCATCATGTGGAGTGATGGAAATTTGACAAAGGAACAATATGTTCACATCTTAAAGGGTCATCTCCTTCCAATGCCCCGAACACTGTATGCAGATAATTGGATTTTCCAACGACCCAAAACACACTGTGAGCTACACAAAACAGTGGTTGTCAGACGAAAAAGTTCAAGTTTAAGACTGGCCCAGCTACAGCCCAGTATCTTTATCCTATTGAGAAGTGTGGGGACTAATGAAGGACAAAATAAACCAAAAAGGATTTAGAAATATTGAGAATATGAAGAAAGAAGTGGTCAAATGGGATACGCTGTCAACAAACTTTGATCAGTAGTGTACCTAGGTGCATTCAGTCGTGTATTGCAGGGCAAGGAGGTCTCACAAAGTACTGAAAAGACACTTAGACTGTAAAAGAATCATATCTCAACATATTCATTTAAGTAAAACTTCTATAGTTTGTATACATGAATTAGATATTTGCCGATACAACTTTCTCAATGATTACCGAATACTATAAATTGGTATTACTTTTCAATCAACATTTCTCTTTACCTCAGTGGACAGACTCCATTCCTCTCCCCTTGCGGCCATTGTTGCTGTTTATGGTGTTTCATCTGTTATGTCCATAGGATTACATCCCTTTGTATCGTCAACATGAGCCAGTTCAGCAGCATCAAGAGTGACTTTTTCATCTTCTCTATTATTTATGTCTTTTGGATTCTTTTCCTGTTTGGTCTTTACTGTCACTGAATCGGAGGAATGCTTTATGTTTCCATCAGCGGGCTCTTCATGTGTAGATAAGGGTCTTTTCAGTTTGGCATATCTGGATAGCTCTGGGTTGTTCTCAGGCTCTGCATCTGAGGAAGAATCCTCATTATCAGCATCATAGTCATACTGGATTTCAGCTGTCAAACCAGAGACGGTATTCTTGCTCCTCTGCAGGTTCAGCTTCATCTCTTCTTTGCTGTCAGGATCTTCGTTTGGCATATCTGGATAGCTCTGGTTGTTCTCAGGCTCTGCATCTGAGGAAGAATCCTCATTATCAGCATCATAGTCATACTGGATTTCAGCTGTCAAACCAGAGACGGTATTCTTGCTCCCTGCAGCAGCTTCATCTCTTCTTTGTGAGGATCTTCTCTGTTTGGCCTTTACTGTCACTGAATCGGAGGAATGCTTTATGTTTCCATCAGCGGGCTCTTCATGTGTAGATAAGGGTCTTTTCAGTTTGGCATATCTGGATAGCTCTGGGTTGTTCTCAGGCTCTGCATCTGAGGAAGAATCCTCATTATCAGCATCATAGTCATACTGGATTTCAGCTGTCAAACCAGAGACGGAATTCTTGTTCCCTGCAGCAGCTTCATCTCTTTCTTTGTGAGGATCTTCTCTGTTTGGCCTTTACTGTCACTGAATCGGAGGAATGCTTTATGTTTCCATCAGCGGGCTCTTCATGTGTAGATAAGGGTCTTTTCAGTTTGGCATATCTGGATAGCTCTGGGTTGTTCTCAGGCTCTGCATCTGAGGAAGAATCCTCATTATCAGCATCATAGTCATACTGGATTTCAGCTGTCAAACCAGAGACGGAATTCTTGCTCCCTGCAGCAGCTTCATCTCTTCTTTGTGAGGATCTTCTCTGTTTGGCCTTTACTGTCACTGAATCGGAGGAATGCTTTATGTTTCCATCAGCGGGCTCTTCATGTGTAGATAAGGGTCTTTTCAGTTTGGCATATCTGGATAGCTCTGGGTTGTTCTCAGGCTCTGCATCTGAGGAAGAATCCTCATTATCAGCATCATAGTCATACTGGATTTCAGCTGTCAAACCAGAGACGGTATTCTTGCTCCCTGCAGCAGCTTCATCTCTTCTTTGTAAGGGTCTTCTCTGTTTGGCCTTTACTGTCACTGAATCGGAGGAATGCTTTATGTTTCCATCAGCGGGCTCTTCATGTGTAGATAAGGGTCTTTTCAGTTTGGCATATCTGGATAACTCTGGGTTGTTCTCAGGCTCTGCATCTGAGGAAGAATCCTCATTATCAGCATCATAGTCATACTGGATTTCAGCTGTCAAACCAGAGACGGTATTCTTGCTCCCTGCAGCAGCTTCATCTCTTCTTTGTGAGGATCTTCTCTGTTTGGCCTTTACTGTCACTGAATCATAGGAATGGTTATCTTCTACCTGGCGTTTCTTTATTTCTTTTGGCTTAGAGAAGGTTCTTAGTATATTTTCAGTGTGTGTATTTTTTGCATTGGGAGCTGTTTTACTATGTGATGGCTTGTATTCCGTACTTGTATCCTCTTTGAATGACATCACCCTCTGTGTACCTTGGTCAGTACTTTTTCCTATGTAATCCTGGGTCTTCTGGGCTTCTGATGCCTTTAGATCCTGTCCATCTTCTAGTTTTCCCAGTTGTTTTTTTTCGAAAATGTCAAAATGCTTACTTGAAGCTTGCTTACCTTTTGTTTTACATTTAGACAGTGGTATTTCAGGTTCTTCTTCTTCTTCCTCAGTTAGTTCAGGAGAGTTGGAGGATCTTGATGAGGCTGTTTGACCGTCACAAAGTAAATTCAGATTTTCCGTTCCATTCAAAGACATTTCATAGTCAGCTGTGTCCATACTGCCCTTCTTTGAAACTGGCTTTAAATTGATAGCTTGTTCTTTAAACTGGATTTCAGCATCTTTGTTTCCTGCAGGAAACATGAACACTTGAGGTTCATTGCTAAGATCTTCTGTATCCCTTGTTCTTTGATGTATATCTATGTCATTTTGTAGTTGTCCATCACTATCTGGTTTCTGGTATGTCACATCATTGAATGCTGCTGCATTTGTCTCTGTTGTTCCTCTTTTTATGGTATGATGGCTTGATGGGCTCTTCACAGTCTCTGTTAGTGTTCCTGATGTCATGTCTGACCTTTCTGGGTATGTCACTGCCATTGTTGGTGCCCTTTCTGTTTGTCCTGCTTCATGTCTTGGTGGGTCTGTCACTACCTTTAGTGATTCATTTGTACTGGCCTCGTGTCTTGGTGGGTCTGTAACTATATCAATCACTGTCTCTGCTGTTTGTCTTGACTCAGCCTCGTGACTTGGTGGGTCTGTGACGCCTGCCTTAATTATTCTGAAAGCAGATGACATTTGTATAAGAATCATGTCTGTCTAATAATGTATACATGATGCTATTCATGGTGAGGAATCTCCATGGGGAGATTGTAAGAGCTAACTAGGATCAACTAGCCACAACATGGTCACACGTTGTATATGGACCAACAGTCTCTGGCAATATGCAAATATCTCTCAAAGTTATAAGCATCAACACACCAACAGGTTCTTTTCCAGGTATTCAAAGGGATTTGACTTGGTTGAAATTTCTGCAACTCTTCTCCGCTTTTATTATGTCAACTTCTATCTTTTGTAAACATTACTTCTTACTCCTTATTCATGTGAATGATACAGACTGGACATACATACATACATACATACATACATACATACATACATACATACATACATACATACATACATACATACATACATACATACATACATACATACATACATACATACATACATACATACATACATACATACATACATACATATATATAATCTGTGAGCAGTGAATATAACTGTACAGAACATGATAACAATGGATAGATAATAACAAAAACCAAACCAAGAAAAGGGCAATTTCAGCTTTTGCTTTAAAGAAAAATTTATTTGTATTTTTTATGTCTTCATGTAAACTACTTTGGTTTGTATGATTGGTATGTTGCATCTGCAGAAAATTGGACAAGAATTTTTAATAAACTTTATTGTGATGTTTCAACTTAAAATCAAAATATTATCATGGATTAATAATTCATACAAAATTCATTATTCATTATTACCACTACAAGCAATATATTAGGATTCAGATATTAGGAAAATATAAATACTGAATATTAGTTCCATCATGCATCAGTAATAGCTTAGAGAAAGACTCCTGTCAAAAGTAGTAAAACTCATCTCACAGACATATTATTGAAAAAGGTGTAAATTACGGCTGCACAATTTCACAGATGTACAAGATAAAATTTTAGCCTAAGGTGTCAAGGACTCCAGCTGTTAGACAAGCCTTTCAGTAAGACAAAGTTATGACTAGACGATTTAATGAACTGCTTTGATAAAGTATACATGTCATCACCTACATTAAAATATATTGAGCAAACACTTTAAATTAGGGTCAGTAGGCCATCTATTGTAACACCATAACCATCCAAGCAACATGTCAGCACAATTAGTGCCAGTTAAATTAGGAAATGTGTCAACACAATATGTGCCAGTTGAAATAGGATTAGCAAGATTAAGTACTCCCCTTGTCTGGTCATTTCATTTGTAGGACACACCCCATTTTGTATATTCTGTATTTCATTGGTTATTGTAGGTTACACCCATTTTTTGTATCAGTCAACAAATCATAATATTGTTATTGTTTAAGCAGACCAGCACACCAGTTAGATAAGGGGTTTCACAGGAACCATCACTGGGACCCAAGACCCTTATCATAATAATATCATTATCGCAATGGTGGCAAAAATACTGAGTTTGGAATATGTAGTCCTAAATTTTGCTCAAAACAGCTATGAAATGGAAGGAGTTGTTAGGCGTCACATATGTGGCTGTTTATAAGTATATTTCTGCAATAAATGGTCATTCTTCTAAATTGTCTTTTTCAGTTTTTAGCAAGAATGTAAACATAATAACTGAGGCAACAACAGCTCTCATCCCAAACAGTTATCAGAAAAGGATGAAACATTGAATTCCTTTTACCTTCCCATAAGTTAAAATCCTTCAAAGAAATAATTGGTTGTATAATCAGAAATATTTCATGAAAGGTATTTGAGTATATATGTCAGGCAGCTAGTTTGCATGATCTGGCCCCGATGTCTCGAAACAAACTTAAGTCTGAGTTTTCACTTAAGTTAGAGCTTTTTCTCAAATTTAAGAAAAATTGATCTTTTCTTCAATACATGTTTCCGGATGTACTGGATGTGCACATGCGCTGTGTTCACCTTCCATATAAGGCAGCTATAGCCAGTATTTAACACTCCCAAAATTCCAAGAATTGAAAACATTACCAGTCCGGATACAAACTTGCCTGTCTGGTTTTCAACAATGAAAAACACCCATCAGGTTTCTGAATACTTTACTGTTTGTATGCATCGCAATGAACAACATAGCACTAACAGGCAATGCACCGAGTTTAGGTAAACTTTTTGCTTATTGTAAAATAAACTGTCCAATTGTAAATAGTTTAACATAATTATCATAATATCTTAAACACCTAAAACCCAAGAGAACCTATCTGATATTATGAAATATTTACTGTCAGGGGTAAAAACATCTACCAGACCACCGGACAGGCTACTTTTGAAATTTGATAGTTCGAGATGAAAATAGACCATTCCGGACGGTCGGGCAGTCGGAAATTTTAAACGCTGCTATAGCCTTGCTGCATGGTTGTACTCAATGCAACACCATGGGTGTATACGAATTCTAGTCTGTAAAGAAGCAAATCAAGATAGGCGGACAGTAAGGACACCAGTCTGTAATGGGGACAGGTTTGTTTACATATATTTTCTCAAAAATTATCATTTAAACTATTAATTATTGTCTTAGAGACTTTTGCAAGTCAAGACAACCAGCCCAATGAGTAGTACTAGAGTGGGGGTTCTGCATCACATGCGGCTTAGAGGCTTATTTGTGGGAATTAAGCCTCCCAGCCCCCCCTTAAAAACGGCGATGGTCTATCGAGAGCCATCCGTCGATGTACTGCCAGCCTAGACCCAAAGTTCTGAGCACTGAGTTATCAGCCGGCTCGCCAGTGTGATGGTTAGAGCTTTGGACTCGTAATCCAGCGCCGCGAGTTCGAGACAGGGTATCGGCGGAAACTTTTGCGA